GTCTGGCTATGCACATTACTGTGTCTGTGCATGATGCTCTGCCCGTCTGGCTATGCTGATTACGGTGTCTGTGCATGATGCTCTCCCTGTCTGGCTATGCACATTACTGTGTCTGTGCATGATGCTCTGCCCGTCTGGCTATGCACATTACTGTGTCTGTGCATGATGCTCTGCCCGTCTGGCTATGCACATTACTGTGTCTGTGAATGATGCTCTGTCTGACTATGTGCATAATGTTGCTTTTCTGCCTATGCATATTATTGTGTCTGTCTTTGCATAATGCTGCGTCTGTACGTCTGTCTGCATAATGCCGCAAGATGCCATCTCTCTGTGTGAAAGCCTTCTGTCTGCTTGTGCATGATGATGCCTATCTGTCCGTTTGTCTGTATGATGGTGTGTCTCTGTCGCATGTTCCCCCAAATTCGTGTAGCTATAAATAAGGGCTATAAATAATGTTCTCATAAGGGTGACACCTCTCCCCTTCTCACACAGCTGAAACAGTTTGAGCGGTTGGAACAGGAAGTGAGCCGACCGATCAACAACGACCCATCTGGCTGGAGCCCGCCGTCCCACTATGGCGCTTCACGGGGGGGGCTCAGCGCCAGCGACCGCCAGCTGCTGCTCTTCTACCTGGAACAGTGCGAGGCCAACATCACCACGCTGACCAATGCCGTGGACGCTTTCTACTCCGCCATCGGTGCAAACCAGCCACCCAAGATCTTCGTGGCGCACAGCAAGTTTGTCATCCTGAGCGCGCACAAGCTGGTCTTCATCGGCGACACACTGGCGCGGCAGGCCAAGTCGTCGGAGGTGCGGGCCCGCGTGACGCAGTACAGCAACGCGCTCTGCGAGAAGCTCAAAGACATCGTGGTGAGCACCAAGACGGCAGCTCTGCAGTACCCGTCCGCCAGCGCCGCCCGGGACATGACGGAACGCGTGCGCGAGCTGGCCACCCGCACGCAGCACTTCCGCACGGTGCTCACCCAGCTAGCGGCCATGTGAGGGCACCCTTGGTCCCTTCCCCCTCCCCCCACGGACCACTGCCTCCTGGGCTTTTAATCTCCTCCAAAAAGATGTCTGTCAGACTGGCCAGTTGTACATGGATCTGTGTAAATACTCAGGCTGCACTTGGGACGGGTAACAGAAGCAGCATTACTGAAGATCCAGAGAGAGACCGTAGTTTTTAGACTGATCATTATCACCATTACTGCTTTACTGTAACTACAATGATATGAATTTTAATAGTTGCTATTATTATTATTATTATTATTATTATTATTATTAAGGACCGAGCTGAAGGCTGTTTCAGTTTTTAACTCACATATGTAGAAATCCTTAATATGGTTTCCCCCCCGGGACAAATTACGGGAAAAAAGAAAAAGAAAAGCCCCTTCAATCTAAGGAGAGACCAGCGGGGTGTGGAGAACGGAAGACAGGGGCGGGGCCACATTGACAAACCAGTAATAGTGTCTTCAGGTCTGCCATTGTCATGAGACGGGCTCAGCGTGCTAATTAAAGGAGCCCAATTACGCAGATAGCATGTGCTTTAATAGAGTCTCTGCTCCGCTGATGAGATCGGGGAGTGATAACATAGGTCAGTGAGCCTGACTGACTGAGACAAGGCTTTCTAGAAGCTTAGGGGGTAGTGGGGGTCCCTATCGTCATTTTGGAAGCACAGGGGTCAATCAGACCGCTCCCCGTCTCGAACCCCCACCAGCAAAGACATGCCACGCTCTGACCTGCATTGTGGCAATAATCCACACCCCCCAGCCTGTTTCCTAGTCCCCCCCTGGACATCTGTGGTGCCTCCTCCTGCAGGCCAGGGGGTCCCTCCTTCCTGGGGGGGGGGGGTCTTTAGGCAATTATGGGGAGTATAAACAGTCTTCTCTATCACCACACAAGGAAACATGGCACCGGTTTCTGCTAATCTGGGTAAGAAACACATTCACAGCGCAGAGACCCTCCTGCGCTACCATTGCTAATGCTGTGCCAGCGGACCTGCA